ATCCAGCTCTACATCTTGTTATCTCAGATTCTCCAGCATCGGCAGTTCCCAGTATCTCTAAGTCAGTTTTAAGAACTGTCTTAAAGGAGAAAAAGGTATGGCATGAGGTGGAGAAGTGGTGAGCTTGAGGACTATGTAAATGTTTATTCAGAACTCGTCAATATTGCAGATTGACGACCTGAACTTGAAAGTTTTTGACCTGAAAGGAAAATTCAAGAGGCCACCACTCAAGAGAGTCCGTATGTCTGCTGATGCCATGCTACGCGCTCTGCTGGGCTCCAAACACAAGGTGTCCATGGACTTGAGAGCTAATCTGAAACAAGTGAAGAAAGAGGACACTGAGAAGGAGAAGGTAAGACAACATTCCTGAAAATGATGGCTGAAATTTCACTTCTCCCTTTGATAGTTTATACCTCTGTACTAGCCACTTAAAGACAAGCATTGGATCAAATTGCTTGAATTCCCTTTCTTTCAGCACTTTGGATGTACCTACATCCCATAGATTGCAACATATTTTAGAAGTCGGATCACTCCCACTTTCTCCAGGGCATTTAGAAGAGGCAACAAATTCTGGTCTTGCCTGCATTGCCAAGTCCATGAATGTTTTTTTTAAAAAGTTTAATGAATCAATCACAAGGAAATCCATATATAGTTATAGATCAACATCATCTCTTCCTCCCTCTCCACCTCCTGAAGTTAACTTTTGCACTTGCAAAATGCTGTATCTTTATAACAATGAAATCCCATGTCTTTGTTAATTCAATAAATTAACATATTCCTCTCATGAAAGCAGCAAAACAAAACTTTTAATTGCATAATAACTTTTTATTATGTCAAAATATTAAGTCCTACAAGTCCATGTTTAGTATTGTGGAAAATGGTCCAATATCAATAGACAGTTTCCAAAACCGTTCAAACATCTCTCCACCATTCTGAACAGAATTTAGAACAGAAATTCAATAGGCTCTTCAGTTCTTCATCAGTTCTGATTTTTCTAATCTCAGCTGATAGCATTAATAGGGGTCTGAGAGTTTGGCTTATCATCACTCGATAAAGAGGAGAAAATCAGCAGAGGTTTCTTTTCAATGTACCCCCTCTGCATTCTCCTATCCAAATGTTTATCTGCAGGGATATTTAAATCCAGCCCTTGTCTGTGTTGAATGAACTGAGTCCAGACAAATTTAGTGTTTCATTTCACATATTTTATCCATAATTTCTGATAGGTTCACGATAGCTTAGTGAGTAAATAAATTTTGTGAGGTAGTTTTGTTCCACAAAGATTAGAAGGTTTGAAAGTCAGAAGGAACAAATCCAGGGAGGAGAGGTTAATCCATAACTTGAACTGTTATTTTGCTAGACTTCATCCTTAAACTTCACCAATTATTCCCACTGTAGGATCTGCGTGACGTTGGAGACTGGCGTAAAAACATTGAAGAGAAGGCCGGAATGGAAGGCAGAAAGAAGATGTTTGAGGGCGCTGAATAAAACTTGTCACCATGTAACCAAATACTGTATTGCATTTAGTATTTGTAATAAAATATATGTAGGTCAACATTGTCCTTATCGCTATTGGAAATATATATATGATTTAGTTAATCCTATTTGGAACGAGAGGATGACACAGTAGTTGGAATGAAGGAGGTGGGAACTAGCTTGAATTCAATCCAATATTTTACTGCTTGATATTTATTGTAGCTGGGCATTAAACAGCATTTGCTATTTGTTGGGCTTGCCTTCGCCCATTTAATCATACTGATATTTTGAATTCCAAGTTGCTGAAAATGCAATCTGATACCATTGCTGAGAAGGAAACAGGGCATCTGGACTCTTGCTGAATAGAACAAGCTCTAGCATACTACATCTGTCAGTCAGATGTGAAGAGAATGAAATTAAGATTGGAAGGATTGAGAAGGAGGTGCAAATTAGAGTGTGCGTATTCAATGCCAAATTGATACTGAAAGAGAAGTAAAGAGAGAAAATGAATGGATTTAGAGAGAAAAAATGAAATGGACAGCAAGGAAAGTGACAATTTTTTTAATTTTAATCTTCAACAGTAAAGAATGAAACTTCATAATTCCAATAATTAATTTTCCATATCAGAGAGATTGACATAAATTATCATGTCATTAAAAGGGAGCTTAGATTCAAATGAACAGGATGTAACCATCTAGGGTGAGTTTAGTTTCTTCTACTGCGTAACTACAGCAACTTCACCATAATCAGTTCTTTGCTGAGTGAGACAAGATATCCTCTTTGTGAAGTTAACAATGGAGCAGTTCATGATAGAGAAAAGCTTTGTGAATTTCATGCTTTCCCTCATCAAGAATTGGTAAATCATTCACCAATAAATAACAGTGAGTGACCATTAACTTCACTGATATTTGACAGAAAACTATGACCTATCATACATCTTCTCGAAAGCCCTGTATGTGTTAAGTATCCATAACTTAGAGACGACAAAAAGGTAAATAATAACTTTATATTGTAAAAACATTTATTTTATGATCTATGTACTGCTCATCTAAAGTTATAGTGTAAATAAACTCTTCCAATCAGGATTAATTTTTTTTTTAAACATGAGTATTCTGAAGCTTTTCTTGGTCAACTTTGCTGTAATATAGGACATTCATGCCAATGCACATGTGAGTAACCAGTATTCTACTGCAATGTTCTCAATGTTTGAAATGGAGTTTGCAACCTGTCAGGAGCTGTAGCATTTTTCTGGCTACAGAGCAACTTGCTAGAAGGTTGCATGCATAGTTTTGGAGCTCATTGTGGCAGAACCTAACCTCTAGCTCTGGTATGCAGTTGTCTGTTTGCAACATAAAAATGAACAGGAATCCCAACTGTTTGCCATCATACTATTTTAGGCACAGAAGAAGATGGTTGTGTTGTAGAAAGGCTGCTTAGGTGGTTCTTCATAGGGACAAATCAAAAACTTGGGTAGTGACAGTAAAAGGTCAACATGCATTTAGAAGCCTAAAAGATCTGCCCAAAAATCTCCTCAATATCCACAGAGGTTGTTGCAAATAAAATAGTTCAAAGAAGTTCCCATGTTATAATTTATCTGGTCTTTGAGACAGCATCTGGCACAATATCAAACAAATGCTTCTGATTAAAATAAAAGTTGCACGATGGCACATCAACATGTTTTTAATATCATATGCAAGTGGATCATAGAATCCCCACAGTGTGAAAGCAGGCCATTTGGCCCATTGAGTCCACACCAACCACCCTACCCTATCCCTGTATTTCCTATGGCTAATCCACCAAGCCTACATATCCTTGGACATAATATGTAATTCAGCATGGCCAATCCACCAAACATATGCATCTTTGGACCGTGGGAGGACACTGGAGCACCCAGAGGAAAGCAGCGCGGACACAGGGAGAATGTGCAAACTCCACACAGACAGTTGCCCAAGGCTGGAATCGAACCGGAGTCCCTGGAACTGAGAAGCTGCAGTGCTAGACACTGGGCCACCATGCCATTCATGGATGGACACACACCAAGTGACATTTAACACTGATAAGTACGAAGTATGAATGTTGGTCAAAAGCGCTAACATGAGCATAAAATGAGACAAAATGAATCAACAAGCGAGGGATGGGGTGGGGAGGTGGAGGATTGTTTCTCAAATTGAAGTCAATGGAAAAGAAAATTAGACGGCATGTAAAGAGGGTAGTCGATATGGTATTATTAATTTTATGCATCACTCTAGAATTTTAACCTCAAGAAACTTTAGCATAATTAATTGAGGTTATAATTCCCATAGAGACTGATACTGTCTTTAAAAAGCAAGACTGAAAAGGATGAAACAGTACGATTACATGTTTATAAGACTTTTACTGACACATATAACTAAGAACACTATTATCCAAGCATTATTACTGTAGGCCACTTCTACTTTAAATCATAAGAAAGAATATTTCTCTTTGATATTTACCACACATTGCATTCTCCACAAAACTGTAGTCCTTACAGGAAATAGTCCACAGTTGTTCCTAGCTTCTAATTCCCCATTTCATGGAGTAATAATTTCAAGGGATTATCTAGACAGGTGCTTTTCTTAGCTTTTGGAAAGTTTCACATAGGTACATCAGCAGTAAAGCCAGTTCCAATGATTCCTTTCCCTGGTGTGTCAGCATTAATCTCCTGGAATCCATAAATAACTGAAGATTCCTCCTGTATCTAGCTGTGGTAGCTCACAAAGCCAATCAGCCTCCTCTTTCTGCTGACCACACAAAACTGATAAGAAGGTTTCATATTGATTCATTGTGTGCAGACTTTGCTGGTGAGGCCAACATATATTACCCAGTGACCACCAAATCCCATAGAATCATCAAATCCCTACAGTGCAGACAGAGGCCATTTGGCCCATTGAGTCTCACCAACCCTCTGAAGACCATCCCACCCAGACACAGCCCTTCACCTTTTCCCCTTAACCCTGCATTTACCATGGTTAATCCACCTAACCTGCACATCTTTGGACTGAATGATTTTTTCAAAAAAACATCAGTGTCTCTGATATTTAGAGGGAAGCCTTTAACTTGATCTAAGGATGTTACATCCATCGTACAGACCCATCAGGTGTTTGTCTAAATTCACTTTGAATGTGTTGGGAGATAATCTCATTCCCACTCCTTCCAGTTAACTGAGATTTCTGGGTTTTGCAGACAAGTTGACTTTACTTAACAGCTTTGGAATTTATCCAGAACAGTGATACAAATATTCACCCCTCTTAGAGGCTGCTGTTTCAAGTCAATGAACTTTTGCTTTTACTTTTTAAGATTTAATATGATTTTTAAAAATCTAAATTCCAGATGATAAATTCATAAGTCATCTTTTATAAATCATAACTTTGTAACATAGACTTACATTGCAAAGCAATACTTGTTGTTAGACAATAAATAATTCAGACAGAATGCAGAAAAATGAAACAAGACCGATTCAAGTGTAAAGGGAACGGACCATCAGAGAAATATTAGTGAAGGTTGCATTTTTATTCTCCAGTGAGCATAATTCAGGGGTGAAGCATTATAAATGCAAATGAAATAAATAACTTCAATTGGCCAGTGTTTCCCATTATCTCAGGATACCTAAAGCACTCAGACCTCACAAATCTCACAGTTAATGAAATACTTTTAACTGTAGTTGCTGTTTTTAAATAAAAGGAAACTTGACAACCTTTTTTTTAACAAGTTATATGATCAGATGACTTGGTTTAAAGGTTAAAAGAAACTCAAGACATTGAGAAAGATCCTTGAAGTAACATGTTAAACCACGTATTTCGTATATGTAAAACATACTAAGATTATCACTTCAAAGCAAATTGAGAAATCAACAGATGTAAATTGAATTGATGGAAAAGTAAATTTCAATATCAGGCAAAACATTTTGCCACAAAGTGAAGATATTTGGAATAAGCTATGAAGCAAATAATAGAAGCAGAACTTGGCATTGTTTAAAATATGAGATGCCATAACGCGAGAGCTACTGTTTTGTAGGATTGAATGTTGATAAAGCAAATAATGTTTACTTGGCTTTGACCAAAAATTTCATTAGATTTTGTTGTGTGATCCTAAAATATAGCTGAAAAGCAACAATAACAGCCATTGATGAGCATAAGATCTACCAATGCTCTTGGTAGGTAACTATGCATAATGTAAAAAAAAACAAAATGGGTGGAAGGAAAAGAAGAGAATTTACTGATTTTTTTTCTACAGTTGAATCCTTCAGGTGACTTTTCAAAGATTAACAGATTTTTGTCATCAGATTATATTTGTTAAATAGAATGACAGCCTGATCTGGCATTCTGAGTTCATCTTCGGTTTAGGATACCAAGATGCTAAAACCTGTCTGTTAAAATCTGGTCTCCAAATAAATCAGGCCAGTGATTGATCAAGCAATACTACATGTGATTCTGCCTTATAAGGACAGACTATAAAGATCTTGGTTGAGACAGGGCCAATTGAAAAGAAAAATCTGGGTAATTATTCAAGAAACAAATAAATTAACACACAAATTGAAATTTTTTCCATTGCCTATAATCCATGCCCTACTGCTCCTTATAAAAACAGAATAATCTCTGCTTCTCTTTCAGAAGCTAAATTCACCTTACCAACTAACAATTCCTGATTCAACTGACACTAACAATTTGTCTTCTTGAATATTTATATTGACTCCTCAGGCAAGAAGCTCTCCTTCTAACTGATCTAGAAATGAGACAAGTTTGTGTGTCTCTCTGTCTCAAGTTTACTGACCTCTGAACCCTTGCTGACCTATTTAAGTTAATGTTTGGTTTACTGAACTGCTAGCAAAAGGTGCCATCTTGAAAGAGAAAGGATTGTAACCTATAGACAGGGTGTTTAAAAAGGCATGTAGTACACATGCCTTCATTGTTCAGTCCTTTGAGTACAGGAATTAGGAAGTCATGTTGAGGTTGTACAGAACATTGATGAGGCCTCTTCTGGAGTACTGTGTCCAGTTCTGGTCACGCAATTATAGGAAGGATTTTATTAAGCTAGACAGGGTTCAGAAG